AAACGCTGTCTATACTGGTGACATCCACTTCCCGTAAATGACTACTTTCCCCCGAAAATGGATTGTTGCAAAAAGCACAATACAGCATTATGCTGCTGAAAGTATGGAGCTCTGACTCTGCAAAGTCAAGGAAGCAAACCCAGGATCAGGTTAGAACTGTTCAGCAAATTCAGAAAAAAGGGTTTCTAATTAAAGTCTGCAAGTCAGAAACAACCAGTTTAATTGATGACTCTCAAAAGTGACAAAGAAAAAGTTCATATGTGGATTGAAAATATATGCTAAAGAATTCACTAATAATAGAATGGTTACCGCATGCCCTGCCACTTCTAAGAACAATTTACCAACCATCACTTACTGTGGAACCTTCTCTCTTCAGTTCATTGTCCAATTCTCTTTTGAAGACTTTGAAGCTACCTCCAAAACTCACGTATAGTATTACACTCCAGGTCCTAACCCCATCTTGTGTAAAGACTTTTTTTGCTTTTTGTCTTCAGTCTTCTCAGAATCTTGAGCTTCCTCCCAAAGCGAAACTTTTCTCTATATCTCCTCTTTCCAGACCCCTCAACTGTGTGTACAATTGTACTCTTAGTCAAAAGGACAATACCCTCAGTTTTTCTCATCTATGCTATCATGAAGTTATAATGTATGGGTTATTAATCCCATTGATTCATTGAATCCTCAGATTTCAGTTTGGAAAAAAAAAACACATTCAAATGAGCCCAAACAGTTTGGCAATGGCAGAGGTCACCCAACCTGTTATGAGGCTGATTTCCTAAAATCCCCAACATGGATTAATAGATATGCTTGTGCATCCCCATGCAGAATTGCATACTTGCCATGGTTTCAAATGTCTGGAAAAACCAAAGAATGAGTTCCACCAATTTCAGATCCTTAACTCAGTTCTCCATTTAGAATCCCTTCCCCACACAGCGTTTACAACTTGTGTTTCATGGTTTTGCTTTCAGTCAAAGACCATCTCTATTCTGAAATGAGCACCTTGTCTGGATGCCCCACCTTCTCCACTACTATTACCACTCCTTTTGGTCTTTTATTCTGACATTTCAGATTTGATTTTGATGTAGTGTACTTGGACTTCAGTGAGGCTATTGAGAGGCCCCACATAGGAGACTGATAGTCCACGCTATTCAAAGGAAATTTGGCAAATTAGATCCACAATTGGCTGAATGACAGAAAGCAGAGGATGTTGGTTGAGGAATGATTTTCCAAGTGGAAGCCAGTGTCCAGTGGGGTCTCACAAAAGATCAGGTTGAGGCCCTTTTGGTATATGATTTAGACGTGGATAAAGGAGGGTTGATCAGTATGTTCACAGATAATACAAAAATTGGTGAGGTGGTAAATAGTGAGTATGGTAGCCTTACATTATCGGAGGATATAGGCAGGCTGGTTAGATGGATTGATCAGTGGCAAATGGTACTCAGAATAAATATGGGTTCATGCACTTGGTCAGGGCAAACAAAGCAAGGGAATACATGATGCACATTAGGACCCTGGGGAGCACTGAGGAACAGAGGGACCTAGGCGTGTACGCACCCTGGTCCCTTTATGTGGTGGGACAGGTAGATAATATAGTTACAACAGCACACTTGCTTTTATTAGCCAAGACACAGAATTGAATAGCAGGGAGGCTACACTGCTATTGTATAAGATGTTGGTTAGCCTACAGCTGAAGTACTGTGCACAGTTCTAGAATCCACATTATAGGAGGCATGTGATAGCACTGGACAATTTACAGTGTGGAAGCAGGCCATTGGGCCCACTGATTTCACACTGATCCTCCAAAGAGCACCCCCTCCAGATGCACCCCTGCATTTCCCATGGCTAATCCACTTCAGCTGCACATCCCTGGGTACTATGGTCAATATAGTATAGCCAATTCACCTAACTTGTACATCTTTGGATTGTGGGAGGAAACTGGAGCACCCCGAGGAAACCCACATAGCCACGGGGAAAACATGCAAACTCTAGAGACAGTTGCCGGAGGGTGGAATCAAACCTGGGTCCCTAACACTGAGAGGCAGCAGTGCTAACCACTGAGCCACCAGGTTCTCCTATAGACTTGCACTTTTAATTTTCTCTTTCGCTCCCCCATCCCACAGTAACTTGCTCCGTTTGATTCCATACCAATCCTTAAGTCACAAGAATCTTGACAGGTTTTACATTTTAATAATTTTTTTTTCTCCCAACAGAATGTGTTTATAACAAGATAAACTCAATTTTGATTGAAGTAAGAAATCTGGCTGGTTTCTCTTTAGCTTTATAGGTGGTCAATATATACTGAATTAAAAAAAAAAGGCAAACTTTAAAACTTCCAACCTCTATTTATCAACCTCAGGAGTGAAGAGAAAGAAAAATTATTCACTCCCTTTGGTTAAATTACTCCCTTAAGTTACTGAAGCTTGTCATCTCTGGAACCGTTGTTAATCATTTTTACTGTCACTAATGCCTTCACTTCTAAAAAAACAAATGTAGTGCCCAAAATGGACATGATATACTCCAAATCAGTGCTTCATACAGGGTAAGTGTAAGATTCCTGCTTTCAAATGTTATGCCTTATTTATAAAGCCTGTATACTTATTTTTTTTTCAACTTGTCCTGCCACCTAAAGTAATATGAATACATAACGCTCCCAAGTCCCGCTGCTCTGCACCCCCTCTTGCCCTTTAGTATTATAGCCTTGATTTAATAATTTCTTCTTTCAATCATACTGACTTCACACTTTGCATTAAATTTCATCTGCTACTGGTTTGCTCATGTCACCAGCATATCTATGTCCTCTTTATGTTGTGCTCAACCATCCCACAGTTCCCTATATAAGAAGTTTTATATCATTGCTACATTTTGCATACCAGGTCTAGACGAGTTATATCAAGAAAAAAAAAGAGAAAGATCGATCCCTTCTTTCAGTGTAGAAAAGAACTGTTCAACACTACCCTATTTCCTATTATTCTCGGCAGCCTGATTTTTCAGATGTATTATGCACTTAACTTACATACCATTGGTCCTTTTCCAGTTTTGCCTCCCAATACGTGATTCAAATTTACCTGTGTTAGTTCTGTTGTCACTCCATTAAAGTTGCCATCCTACTTTCACAATTTTTTTTTTTTTTTTTTTAAAAATGTCTGAATTGCTCCTTGACCTTTTCTGTTGCTAATCTAAACTTGTCCGCTACAAATATTCCACTACTGATGGTTTACCTACCTCATTCCCCAAAGACCCAGCAATGCTTCCTTCTTTGTTGCGTTGAAAACTGCTGTAGGAAGCTCTCCTGAAATCTGCAGTCCCCCTCTACCTCTTACACCATGATCTTAATACAGATGGAGATGGTAAAACTGCTCCATAATTCTTGCACTTCTCCAATTATGTTGCAAATTCCAAGCAGAAACACAAAATTAACAGCCAGATTTCAAATCTTTGACAGTTACAACTAGCAACCAATTACAGATCAAAAGTAGAGACAACAAAAGGTGTAGAGCTGGATGAACACAGCAGGCCAAGCAGTATCAGAGGAGCAGGAAAGCTGACGTTTCGGGTCGAGACCCTTCTTCAGATATGAGGGAGGGGAAGGGGATTCTGAAATAAATAGGGAGAGAGGGGGAGGCGGATAGAAGATGGATAAAGGAGAAGATAGGTAGAGAGGAGACAGACAGGTCAAAGAGGCAGGGTTGGAGCCAGTAAAGGTGAATGTAGGTGGGGAGTTAGGGAGGGGATAGGTCAGTCCAGGGAGGACGGACAGGTCGTGGAGGCGGGATGAGGTTAGTGTGTAGGCGATGGGGGTGGGGCTTGAGGTGGGAGGAATGGTTAGGGAGGTGGGGACGAGCTGGGCTGGTTTTGGGATGCGGTCAGGGGAGGGGAGGTTTTGAAGCTTGTGAAGTCCACATTGTTACCATTGGGCTGCAGGGTTCCCAAGCGAAATATAAGATGCTGTTCCTGCAGCTCTCAGTGGCAATGCAGGAGGCCCAGGATGGACATGTCGTCCAAGGAGTGGTAGGCGGAGATGAAATGGTTCGCGATTGGGAGGTGTAGTTGTTTGTTGCGAACCGAGCATAGGTGTTCCGCAAAGCGGTCCCCAAGCCTCCGCTTGGTTTCCCCGATATAGAGGAGGCCACAACAGGAACAGCGGATACAGTATACCACATTAGCTGTTGTGCAGGTGAACATCTGTTTGATGTGGAAGGTCTTCTTAGGGCCTGGGATGGTGGGGGCGACGGTGGGAGGTGTAGCACTTGGTCCGGTTGCAGGGAAAAATGCCGGGGGTGGTGGTGCTGGAGGGGAGTGTGGAGCAGACAAGGGAGTCACGGAGAGAGTGGTCCCTCTGGAAAGCAGATAAAGGGTGGGGAGGGAAAAATGTCTTTGGTGGTGGGGTCGGATTGCAGATGGCGGAAGTGTCGGAGGATGATGCGTTGGATTCGGAGGTTGGTGGGGTGGTACATGAGGATGAGGGGGATTCTGTTTTGGTTGTTATTGCGGGTAGGGGTTGTGAGGGATGAGTTGTGGGAAATGCGAGAGACACAGTCGAAGGCATTTTTTGACCACTGTGGAGGGGAAGGAATTGGGAATAGGGGATTGCCTTTTTGCAGGCAGGTGGATGAGAGGAGGTGTATTCCAGCATCGGCAGTTCCTACAATCTCTCACAGATCAAAAGTAGCTCTGGTTCCAATTTTGAAAAAGAGCAGGTTTTGCAAGGGCATTGTAGTGTTGCAGATATACACTGTTTCAGTTTACATTCTGAAGTCAAAGATCAACATTCATGAGCCAGCTCTCAGCAAAATATTATTAAATCTGCCTCCTTTAATCACCGTCCAGATTCAAACGCAACTTTTCATTGGTTAATGAACAGCAACCTTCCAGAATCCTTCCTTCTTTTTGTAGTAACTTAAAGGCAGAGTGTTAATGGAGACTGGATTTCAATGATCAAATTAGGAGGGTCAACTCTCAAAGTATATTCAGTTGTGACTAAAAATTTTACAACACAAAACACAGAGTTTTTAAAAGTTTTTTTTACTCTAATTTTTTTTATACAGTAAATACAAAAATATTCTTCCAAATACATATGGATTTTAGGCCTACAAAACAATCAACTGAATGCACTGGAAAATGTAAATCACAGTGACAATGAAGTTACAGCAGAAAAAGACATTTTAGGCAATTACTAAACTTTTCATTCTGCTTTGTAGACATTTATATGCAGTGCTATATATATTTATACACGCACACACTAGAAAAATCAGCAGCCTTATCATTGGCCATTAGAAGTAATCAAAAACAATTACCTATAAATGCTTTCCTGAAGTGATGAAATTCTCCAACTGTAAAGATTTTAACCGCAAAACCCTATACCAATAACTAAAATGACTTTTTTTTGGTTTTTTGTTATATACACAAAACATTGAAAGGGAGGGTTAACATAAAAAATACACAGGACAATTTTTTTGTTATTTTACAATTATTAAAATTACACGTCAGCCTTCTGAAAAGAACTGTCAATGCAATACTGATTGTTTTTCAATAAAAGGCTGTTCACAAGTATTTACACACATACAATGCATAATTCAGGGCAAAGAGACAAATATGTCCAGAGACACAGGTTGATCTTAAGAGGCCAGAAGCTATTCCATCCATTTAAGGCTTTGATTTTCTCCCCCCTCCTTCCTCATTTTCTATAACAAGGCCTCAGATTTATGGATATTGGTTAATCAGCAGTCAGTCAACAGTACATGCGTTTTGAAGTGTAAACCAAACGTACTTCTGGTACCTCTAGCATCTGGTCTGCAAAACGTATAGTGGAGTAGATTCGACTAACCCACCTTCTGGCTTCAACACCATGTCAGAATACCAATTGTATAGCAGTACTCCACTTTCCACGTCTGGGCAAATTTTAACAAAATATAGCTGACATGCTTGAATAGTTTAAGAATTACAAATTACTTTTACCTGACAAGTCAGTGTTGCTACCGATTAAGGGTTAGTCTGATGGAATTTTTTATGACACGTATGCTACTCGTGGGAACTGGAGAAGATGCATCTGGTAGCTCCTTGCTGGGTAGTCTCTGTAAAGAAAATCAGCACCAAAACAAGGACAGAAAGAAGCATGTTAAATTGCACTGGTTAAAAAAAGTGAATTCTAGAAGTACAAGAGGTGTTTTAACTTAAGAGTGAAAATTCACTCTTCAGAATCTTCAGAAAGTTTTGAGTGCAGACATTACTCGTAGAATCATCGTTTCCTGTGAAGAAAGAGATTTAATAGGTAGTACCTGTGATCTTGTATCAATTGTTGGAATGGGCATGGATTTCACTTCTCCTTGGCTGTCCTGTTACATACAGACAACAATTTAATCAATTGAAGCAAAACAAGTCTTACAATCAGATAGGTGAAGTTAAGTGTCACTAAACCCCCTTCCCCACTACGCAAAAAAAAACTCAATGTGATTATATTTCCGTTCACTTTGATTGTTTTAAAACATCTTCCAACTGTTGCATAACTATTACTTGAAATGGAAATAATTGAACCAGACAGACACTGAGGGAGTGGAATATCCTATGCTTGTTGCATTGAAAATTAGCCCTCCGTCATCTTGATTGGTATCAGCTGTGACAACAGGTATGAAGTACTGAACCACAACGAACACTTCCCTTCAGGGGAAGAAAGCCAGAGGAAAAACTGCATGTAAATGACAATTTGTGTTGACTGTCTGTATTACTGTAAAAGCCGAGCTGTCAAACAGGCTTCTTCTAAGTCCTTGTACAAGGTATAAAGAAGTCCAGAACACCATGGTACAGACTGTAAAATGCAGCATTTAAAGCAAGAGCACACCTTGCACAAACTGCCTTTCCTGCATAAGAGACAGCATTTGAGTAGCAACTATATATTGTGCAGATACATGAATGCTTCATCTTCAGGAATATTCTACATAGGCAAGATGTTAATTACATCCAAAATATTCCATTTATATTAAAATGTTATCATATCGAATAATCGATAATGAAGCTGGGAGAGAACTGATTTACAG